CAGGCCTAGGTTAACAGGCCAGCTGATGGAGAACCCCGTCACAGCAATCATTACAAGTCGCAAAAGTTTCAGTGTTTATGCTGGAACGTCACCCGGAAGTGGCGCCAGAAGGCCTCGCCGCAATTCTGTGGTAATTATGCGAGGGCTACCGAGAGGTGAACGACCTCGGTTAAAGACGCTAGTTCAAATTGGGACACTGAATGTGGTGTCGCTTAACGGGAAGTCTCGAGAGGTTGCCGACCTCGTGAGGCATATCCAAGTCCTATGCCTTCTGGAATGCGATAGAAAGGACGAAAGGTCCACGAAATTGGAAAAGAGGTCTGTGGCCCAACGAATACGTTTCCCCTGTAAACAGGATCAGTATCGGTTCATGGAGATGAAAAAATGCAAAAAAATGCACCAAGGAGGAGTACCGGACGAGAGTGGCGTACCGCAGTCCAGTTGCTCCGAGCTAGAGAAGGATGAAACCTTCCTGACCGTAGACGAGACGGTAAGATCGATTCCAGAGGATGACTACCTCACCATAGCTGGTGAGCTGATTGGACATGTGGGTAGTGATAGAAGGAATCTAGCTGACATAGTCTTCCAAACCTTCCCCACCCAGCCCCCCCCCCCCCGGAAAAAAAGATTGTAACCTAGGTACCATCCTTGCTGTACTTTTTGGCATCGTGGCAAAGATGAATCATGAAGCCGTCAAAAAGTTGTAACAAAATTTAGGAACTTCGCTGGGATATTTTACGTAATGCACCATACTTTCTAGAGTAGGTTCCTTTGGATTACCGTCTGTTAAACTCCTGAGCAGTACCTACCTGAACGGCGAAAGGTCTCTGTTATTGGTGGGCATTAATCTCGATTGTTCATCTAGCAATTTTTCATGGAAATCCAAAACGCCTTTAGCACTTCACTTGCCAGAAATCCCATATTCTGCTTCGGTATCGTACACTCGATTTCGGAGCTGTTACCGTTGTTTCCCTTTTTGTGCTTGCCGAGCACTTTCCTGAATGTGGCAGCCTCATAAATACTGTTTTATTCGTATACCACCGGTCTTTCCGTCTCTCCGACACATGTGGATACACACGAGAATAATGGCAATAGCTTTGAAATGAAGCGTACGCTTGTGCCGGAAAGTTTGATCAGAGAAGCCTCAAAAGGTTTTGAATCTCTGTGAGAAAACTATTATGAACAAAGAAGATATGTAACCATTCTATGAGTAATTATACTTTTGCCGGCCCTCCTGTTCTGTGCGGCGTCTATCACGTGCGTCTTCTCTATTTTTTATGCTCATGGAGAGGCGCTATTGAAATTTTCACCTGCTACTGACTAACATACATACAACATCGAATTTACGTTGTGATCGCAGTAAGCGCACTTTCTATCTTGTGTAAGATCTATGTTGGGATATAAACACGTCATCGTAACTGATAGGATTGATAGGACGCATGTTAAGGGAGAGTTCTTCTCTCGAACTCCAAACACGTTCAGACCCCGGAGCGAGGAAACACGTCGAACGTTAGACCATTAAATAGTTTGTTCCTCTTAGGACCTTGATAAGCACAGCAGCATCAATAAAGTGGACAAGCGCAAGAGAATTCGCGTTTCAATATCGATGGAACTTCTGCGGCGCAGTTTTCCTTGCAGGAAGCATTTTACACTTTTGCTAGTTCCTCTTGCTAGAGTACATGTTAAGCAATAGATTAACACTTGTGAACTACGGGAAACTGCGCTGCGAATTGAATCAGTGGTACAGGTGAGTCACTTTGGTTACAGGAGTTTACACAAGGTGGCTTGTACCTGCCGCGCTTCTTCCTACTTTGTTCCATAGGTTCATGTGTATAAGGACCCTTTCGTAAACGAATGTGTGTGTGGCAACATCTTAGGTGCTGCGTATTTCACAGACTATGTTGATGAGGTGCTCTTTGCAAATGATGCCACAGTTATTTCTTGCCTTTTCAGAAGAAAGAAAAACCGTGAATGCTTTCATATTATTTGAGTCGGGCTGAAAAGATGAGGAGCTCCACTACACAGTTAAGGGGCGGTTACAATGTTATCACCGGTCACACCTATGCAATTTGTGACACACAAAGGGATACTCTTGTCTTCGTAACATTGTCTAGAAAACCGTTACGCAGAATACCGCCGCAGAATCGAGCTCAGAGTTCAATGCGCATCTTCATATTGTCCTACTGTCAATGTTAACGTTGTTTTGTTGGCTGTCGCAAGGTATTTTTTTTGTTCTGTTTCTTTTTCATCTGTTAACCAAATCGTTAATTGGTATTTGTTAGTTGAACAATGCGTGCGACGTCTCTACTCATGAGGATATTTTCAGAAAGCGTTCGAATCAACTGAAGTTCCACTCGATAGAACACTTCTCAGATTGTACTGCAAAAATGCTGTTTCGGGGTTGAAGCCGTTGTTGAGGTGACACCTGTTAATGCATTACGATGTAACGTAGCCAATGTTTTCCAATGAAAGAGCTGTGATACTGGCTTCATCGGGAACGCCTTCAGTAGAAACCGAGTATTCGGACATTCTTGGAGAAATGACCTACAAGGAAACGGTGAGCTTATCGGAACAACATGACTAGTACTGCCTGAAGTTGCGATAGCTTTCCTTTTAGAGCGTACGAATGAAGACAGGAGATATCACAACGTTCTGCAAACTTGAAGAGCTGGGAAGATGTCTTGGCATACGTTTTCTGACTACTTTCATTTGTCGTTCTACAGAAAACCCTCACCGTACACTTCACATTCGTTACTACGATGAGCTCAAAGCGAACGGATCACGAGTCATTGTGAGTGATTCTAGTACTTTGAATGTTTCATACAGCACCCCTGTTTTCTGATATGTAAGGCGCATCCGAGTATAAGGCCCGTCTTTGTTTCAAACCTCGTGCGAGAAAGGCACTTCTTTTTTCGTACCCATCTACGTGTTTTTTTTGTTCTCATCTATGTAGATGGTCTATACTCAGCAAAAATGCTCGAAAACAAGGTAATCGTTTTTTCCAGAGAATAGGAAAAACGGCCATTGTAGTGCTTACAATCTTTTAGAGCGTAATTCGTGCCCACATAATGCTTCGCTAAAGAAAGCACGTTAACGCCAGCTCCTGTGCTAGAAACGAAGTGTACCGGTTAACATGAGTCTTTCTCACTGAATAGCGTCATCCCTCTCTGGAACTGTTCACCCTGAGACGAGTTTTCAGCGGGATCCGCCTGTATCTGTCCGATCCAGCAAAGGCGCCAGGTCTCCTTCATCAAATGGATAAGATCCTTGGGTCAAACTAACCGAAAAGTGAAATCATAGAGGGTAGATAGTGCAAAATATATACTTTGCTTGATCTGCTGTGTCGAGTACTTAACCCTACTTATTCGTTCTGCTAGGTCATTCAGTTGAAGGAATCTTAACGGCTGCAACAGAACCTCGCGCTCGAAGTAGAGCATACGAAAGTAACAGCGAATTACACGTCAGTGAGGAGCAGGCCTTACAGCCGTGTGTGACTACTCACCCGACCCACCGTCGAAAGACGGTCTCAATTTCTGCTCACTTGCCAGCAACGGTTTACTGCCGAAATTTCACCGCTCGGAGCTCTTCTGGAAGAATCCTATAGCAAATTCGCACTCCATATTTGCAATCAGTATTCCATATTCTATCGTCAATTCTTTAGGTTTTCCTGCAAAATCGGAGCCATTCATCTTGGAGCCTCATCAATGACAGCATTATCTTCGTATTGATTGCCTTTACCCTTCTTCTTCGTCTTCAAGTTGACTGCGACCAACCTTTCATTAAAACACCATTCATCCTGGTCTCTTGATTTTTCTTTCAGTTGCACAAAGCGGACTTTCCTGGCGACGTCGTCTTGATTTTTCTTTCAGGTGCCACAAAGCCATTCCTGGCGACCCTCCCCCCCCCTCCCGTTCGACTATCATCATTTGCGTATGAGGGGAAGTATAGTGTAGTTCATTGCGGACGGTTGGGCGTGTTCGTGCGGCTGCGTTTGGCGCGGTGCCGAACTCGTTCTCCACGTTTTGTTGAAGCGGGAAAGTGACAATACTCTATCACATCTTTCGTATTACTAGTCTTCTACCACTTTTTGTAGCTGATGCTCTCCAACAAGAAGGCGAGAACAGCTCAAAGAGGGTGACACACTCATACTGGCTGACACGCCCAACCGTCCGCAACGAAGTAGAGTGTAGCTCAAGCGGTCGATGTTAGCCCCCGTGATATCCCAGTGGACGAAGGAATGGTTCAACAGTCAGCCGTGAGCTTCCTGCCGGTAATACTGGTCCATACTGCAGAGGTAGCAGTATGGACTCAAAAGCACACTCACGCTCATCTGGAGGTGCGTCCATGGCATGTACGGGGCTAACGGGGTCCCAGCTTCCGAAGCGTAGCGATTTCCTTCTCCCATTATGCGCAGGGATGGGAATCCAGGACCGTGAGATAGGCAATTCCTCCAACCTGCTTAATATGCAACTTGCGACGCAGACATGCTGCCTGCCGCTATCATATCGCGATTCCGTCTATGCCAGCAGTCCGGGCATCGCGTTTAACGCGCGGCCTTCTGGCACTTTGCCAAATCTTGTAGTTGCCTTTCCAAATACGATCAACACATTCGAGGCGAAGGTTATTTCGCCCAGATCTCACGTTCGTAGTTGTTTTTGGCATATATTTGTACTTTTTGCTTCGTAATGATGTGTTAATTGTGTAAATATATGCTAGCAAACTTCAATAAATCGCAAAATGAGCGAAAAAATATGTGCGTGCTACCGCAGGGCTGTACGAATGCCCGAAAAGAGGGGTTTCCGCGTGTACCCCGGGAGTACGTGCCGCCTCGAACGTGTAAGAACGCAAATGCGGATGACAGTTGGAGCGTTGTCCATGATGCAAGCTCTCAATCAGATGATGACGAGTGCTAGAATTGAAGAGCAACTACATTGTTTCTGCAAGCATCCTCGACAGCCGCGCATTCCTACCAAACATGAAGACTAAAAACGGCCTAATTGTTCTAAACGTTCAAAGCCACTACACGGCTTTGAAGCCGGATCGCGACGAATTGCAAAAAGTTACACGTTTTCTAATTGAATTACGTTTGATTACATTTTTTTAATAACATTTTACTTATATTTACATGAGTTGCTCTTGAATTCTAGCCCTCGTCCTCATCTGATTGAGAGTTCGCAGCATGAGCAACGCTCCAGTTGTCATTCGCATTGGGAGTTTGAGTTTTAGGTGTATTTGAGAGCGAAATTACAAGTTTTAAAGTGTCAGGGGCGCCGCGCGGATGCCGGTTAGTGTAGACGGGATCGCGGTATGGCAGCTGCAGGCAGCATCTCTGCGCTGCAAGTTGTACTTAGGCCGAGTATGGGGGAATTAGCCTATTCCGCGGTCCTGAATCTTCATCCCCGCGCATGTTCGGAAGGGAAAACCGCCATGCGTTGACAGTTTGCGACCAGTTAGCCCCGGACAAGTGCAAGCGACGCACCTCGCAGCTGTGCGGTAAAGAAAATAGCCCCCTTTCCATTCTTATCAACTGTACCATTTCTTGTCAGCTGTCGTCAAAGTTCCTACCAGTGGAGAACGAGGCGAAGAAAAAACCTTGGGAACACCGAGCAGAGACCCCCTCAGTGGGGCCGGTTACTTGATCAAGTTCGTCTAGAGGGCAAGCTCAACCAGGAGGATTCTACGTGCAACCAATCCCGATAACAGCATGTGGAAACGCCCTACGCTCCAGGAAGCGATGTACGTACGCGATTCTGCTTGAATGCGCTGCCTTGTAGAGTGGAAGTAATCGTGATTGCAATATCTGCGATAACCACGCGTCCCTATCTTCTTTGTCTCGCCATTTCGAATGACGAAAGTGGTACACTCTTGGCGAGTGCAGACTAAGATGTCGATGCATTTTACGGACCACTTGATCGCGGGAACTGTCATCAAGGAGCGACGATGGCGGCAACGTTCCTTATCATTCCCTATCAGTTGCTGTCCCTTTTTGCCACGTATTGTCCCGGTCCCACCCTTTCGCCTGCTTGAATTGACGCCCTACAGTTATTTCGACCGTTTTATGAGTTCGAGGAGGGACATATAAACAAATAAACATACATGGATGCACACAAACAAATAAACAAACGAAGATACAAACCGGCACACAAAGTTTGCGGTTAAAAAATAGAAAGACAATGATACTACGAAATGGTAGTTTCATGTCGCCATGTTAGCAGCAGTTGTTCGCTAAATATCTAGCTCTCAACAGAAGATGGTAATGAATACAAAGTGTTTCGAAGCTTTCTGGGAGATAAAATAGAACAGAATATGCAAAGGGACAAAACATCCATTGCTGAGTCTAGAAACTTCTGCCGACCGTATCTCTCAGCAACGCTGCGGATAAGTGCACCTCAAGCTCACGAAATTGGGATAATGTCATTACTCAGCTGTGGGATTGTAGTCCAGAAACCTCTTGATGGAAGCACGTGCCATGTTGATAAGTATCATGGCAGCTATTCATTACGCAACTCCATGGTCTTGTTCCTCCAACATACAGGTCTTGTTCCCATAGTAAAATAATATTAATAAGTAGGTTCGCCGGTTGGTGTCCTGGGTATGCCAAGCACAGATCAACCAATAACTTTATCTTCCCTGTACAGCACACTGCACGACACTGGGGTGGGGCCTGCTGGCGAGGATCGGTGGCGACGAGGCGAAAGTAGAAGTGAAGAAGTCGAATGAACTTGATTAAACTGCACCTCATCAGCTTACCCCATCTTTAGGCACGATTAGATAAGGGTACATTGATAAGATACATATAGCGATAAGATATGTAGATTTTATCGCTTCCAGCACAACAAAACAATAGGTTGAACAGGTGAAACGATAACAAAACTGATATATAATAATAACTAGTTGAGTTAATCAACAATTAATGAAACTTGGGGCAAAAGTGTAATTTTCAGTATATACAAATGGACCATGAGGTTTTCAATAATTGTGGAGTACGATTCAGTAGTTTCACCGGCGAATTTCCTTTTAATGTTGGAACGGTGAGTTTTATTCGCCTCCCTAGTTTCCTTTCTTCACGAATTGCAGCTATCAAATCGAATATCCTAGGAAGAAATGGCTCCACTGTCCGCTATGCACCCTCCGATATATGATCTCATTGCCATCATTCAGAAATTGTCTCCGACCCATTAGGTTTAAGCGCGCAATTTGCACAGAATTCAATCTTGATTTGCATTTTTCACGCCTTCCTACTGTACTTGATGTTTTCTAGTCTAGACGAAGTCGAAGCCTTTTGATACGATTTTATACAATTTGCCTTTGATCAGTTTATTCGATTTTAAGTCAAAGTTCTGATGTTTTCTGATGTTGGATGAACGCTTGCAAGTTGACTAGACATTTCCCACTATTGTATGCTTAAGCGCATGTGTACCATTTTCGCCGTGAAACGGACACTTTTCAGACCGAATCGGACACTTTTTGAATCCAACACACCCCTTACATTAGGCAGTTGATAACTAGACCAAACTAGGTACAGCTGGGAGCCCCGCCCCAGCAGCTCCTCCCACTTCTCAGCGCGGCTGTTGTTTCCGAAAGGTTACGTGAAATGTGCTCCTTTGAGCCGTCAGGCCTAGGTTGACAGGCCGGCTGATGGAGAACCACGTCAACCCGTCACAGCAGTCATGAAAAGTCGCAAAAGTATCAGTGTTTATGCTGGGACGTCGTCCGGAAGAGGCGCGCGAATCCCTCGTCCTAATTCTGGTCATTATGTGAGGGCTACCGAGGAGTGAACGACCTCGGTCAAGGGCGCTAGTTTGAATTGGGACACTGAATGTGGGGTCGTTTAACGGGAAGTCTCGAGAGGCTGCCGACCTCGTGAGAATATCCAAGTCTTATGCCTTCTGGAATACGATGGAAAGGAGCGAATGCCCGGGAGATTGAAGAAGGGGTCAAACTGTGCTACAATGGAGGAGACAACAAATGGAATGGTGTGGCTATAGTGGTCGCAGACCTTCATGGACTAGTCTCTCGTGTGAACAGGATTCGTATCGAGTTATTGAGGTGAGAATGTGCACCAAGGAGGAGTACCGGACGATGGAGGCCGTGTGCGCGCCAAGACCTAACGATCTGTGGCATCTTTTTCGCGAAAAGAAGACCCAGAAGGTAATTCACAGCAGTGGAGTTAACGAAACGGAAATCGACCATGTACTGGTGAGAAGATCGTGTCTTGAAACTGTGAAGGACATCAAGGTGCTGTCCGGCGAAGAACTAGAT